ACCCTGCTCTGCTAGGGACAGGGGGAAGTAACAAAATAACCAAGATTGTAAAATGGTAAAACTAAAGTTGTGATTTATTTAACAGAATTGTAAGGTAAACCAAACAAAACAATGATTCTTACAAGAATTAACAAAAAGAGGCTCTAAACAGAGTGGCTAACAATATAAGGAAAGATAAGCAAACCAAAACGGGGTACACTAAATGAAACAGAAAAACAAAAAAACAGTCTAAGTCACCAGGACTCTAGTATCTCAACAAACACAGCACGAGAGACACAAAGATGGCAAGCAAGTCCACAACCAGAACAGCTGCCCAGAGTGGCAGGGGGCGGGTCCTTTTATAGGGCCGGAGCTCCAGGTGTAGGCCTGGGATTGGCCAGGTGTTCCAGGTTTCCACCATTCAGCGGGAGGGGCTCCAGATGCCATCTTAAATCGATTCCTCCAATCACAGCATCACAGCGGGGGTCTGTATATGGAGGCTTGCAAACACACACACACACACACACACACGGATCTAGGCAAATATGGCCAGGAGGATCTGGAGGCCTGTGGCCGTAACAACATACATTTCACATGTTCTCTTATAACTAACAATCGTCAACTGAACCACCCTCCCATTTCACATTTGATTACATATCCCAAAGACAGACAATTTAGTAGTTCCCCAAGGCCTTCAGTTTTAACATAAGATGGGACAAACCCAGAATTGTTGGCGCCCATAGTAGATTAGCTTAATCTGTCAGTTGACATGTCATTCATATCTGCTGCTGGTATCATGTCCTGTACTTCCTGAACCAAAACAGACCCAAAGCAATGTTGATTACACCATGATTAATATTTAAATGATTCACCCTTTAAATGATTAATACTTTAGTGAAAGAATTACATATATAAATGAGTAACACTTTAATGAGACTTTAATCAAAGAAATACATTTATATCATAGAATTCTCTAACAGAAATATAAACAAAATATGTGAAATATAAACAAAATATAAACAAAATATGTGAAATATAAACAAAATATGTGAAATATAAACAAAATATGTGAAATATAAACAAAATATAAACGAAATGTGAAATATAAACAAAATATGTGAAATATAAACAAAATATGTGAAATATAAATAAAATATGTGAAATATAAACAAAATATATGAAATATAAACAAAATATAAACAAAATATGTGAAATTTAAATAAAATATGTGAAATATAAACAAAATATGTGAAATATAAACAAAATATGTGAAATATAAACAAAATATGTGAGATATAAATAGAGCAAAAATGACTTAAATAAATGTTGAGTTTTCTTGTTCCGCATGTTTCTGTTAATCGAGCAAACAAACTGAAGAAGAGAGAGAGAAGAAGAGAGAGAAGGAGGCGGGGGGAGAAGAAGAAAAAGGGAGAGGAAGAGAAGAGGAGGAGAGAAAAGAGGGAGGGCGTGGAGAGAGGGGGACGAGAAAGAGAGATAAGAGAAGAGGAAGAGAGAGAGAGAGGAGAGGAAGAGAGAGAGAGAGGAGAGGGACAGAGAGAGGAAGAGAGAGAGAGAGAGAGAGAGAGAGAGAGAGAGAGAGAGAGAGAGAGAGGAGGAGAGGGACAGAGAGAGGAGAGAAGAGGAGAGAGAGAGAGGAAGAGGGGGGGAAGAAAGGGAGAGGGTGGGGGGAGAGGAGAGAGAGAGGGATGGGGGAGAGAGGAAAGAAAGAGGGTGGGGGAGAGGAGAGGAAGAGAAAGGGGGGAGAGAGAGAGGAAGAGGGAGCGAGAGAGGGGAGAGAGAAAGACGGAGAGAGTGGAGAGAGAGTGGAGGAGAGAGAGAAGAAGAGAATAGGATGAGAGAAAACTGAGGGGGGTACGAAAGAGTGAGGGATGGGGGGGAGAAGAGAGTGAAGAAGAGAGAGGGGAGAGGAAGGGAGACGAAGAGAGAAGAGGAGAGAGACAAAGTGGAGAAGGAAGAGGAGAGAGGGAAAAGAACAGAGAGAGAGAGAGAGAGGGAGGAGACAGAGAATAGGACAAGAGAAAAGAGAGGGAGTAAGAGAAAGAGAGGTGAGAGAGTGAAGAGGAGAGAGAGAGAGACGAGCACTAAATGGAGAGAGAGAGAGAGAGAAGGAAGGAGAGGAGAGGAAGTGGTAAAGGGGAGAGAGAGAGAAAGAGAGAGAGAGAGAGAGAGAGGAGGAGGAGGAGGAGGGGGAGGAGAGATAGTTAAAGGGGCGGAGTTACAGACTCAGTTTTGACTCTTTCAGTCGTTTCAGAGGCGACAGGTGCACAACAGCTCCAGGACACTTCGACTGCAAAAGGTCAGATTTTTTATTTGAATTTATTTTTTTGTATTATTTATTTATTGTTTCAGTATTATTTATTTATAATTTTTTTAAATTTTATTTATGTATTTATTTGTTTGTTTATTTTTATTAGATTTATTAGATTTTATTTTGAAATGTTTCGTATTATTTATTTATTATTTTAGTATTATTTATTTATTATTTCTTTATTTATTTATTATATTAATTCCATTTGAAAATGTTTAGTATTATTTATTTATTGTTTCAGTATTATTATTTTTTTTTTTAGTATTATTTTATTTTATTTTTTATTTTATTTATTTATTTTTTTTTAATTATATTTATTAAATTTTATTTTGAAATGTTTGGTATTTTATATATATATATATATATATATATATTTTAATATCTTTTATTATTTATTTTATTTTATTTTGAAATGATAAGTATTATTTCTTTATTGTTTCAGTATTATTTCTTCTTTCTTTTATTTTATGGATTTGTTGATTCATTATAAAACATTATAAGCGTCAGTCAGTCTTAACCTTCATCTCAGCTGCATTTCTCATATGACATGTGACCAAAAGACAGTGGGTTATATATGAGTTATAATGGGTTATAACGAGCAAATACATCCACACCACAGTGATGTGATACTTACCAGTAAATACTGTACATACCAAGGTGTTGCCTGCAAACATGAACATTAGTTGATGCTGGAAGCTGCATTAAACTGTAATGTGAAACATNAGCATCACAGCGGGGGTCTGTATATGGAGGCTTGCAAACACACACACACACACACACACACGGATCTAGGCAAATATGGCCAGGAGGATCTGGAGGCCTGTGGCCGTAACAACATACATTTCACATGTTCTCTTATAACTAACAATCGTCAACTGAACCACCCTCCCATTTCACATTTGATTACATATCCCAAAGACAGACAATTTAGTAGTTCCCCAAGGCCTTCAGTTTTAACATAAGATGGGACAAACCCAGAATTGTTGGCGCCCATAGTAGATTAGCTTAATCTGTCAGTTGACATGTCATTCATATCTGCTGCTGGTATCATGTCCTGTACTTCCTGAACCAAAACAGACCCAAAGCAATGTTGATTACACCATGATTAATATTTAAATGATTCACCCTTTAAATGATTAATACTTTAGTGAAAGAATTACATATATAAATGAGTAACACTTTAATGAGACTTTAATCAAAGAAATACATTTATATATCATAGAATTCTCTAACAGAAATATAAACAAAATATGTGAAATATAAACAAAATATGTGAAATATAAATAAAATATGTGAAATATAACAAAATATAAACAAAATATGTGAAATATAAACAAAATATGTGAAATATAAACAAAATATGTGAATAATATAACAAAATATAAACGAAATGTGAAATATAAACAAAATATGTGAAATATAAACAAATATGTGAAATATAAACAAAAATATGTGAAATATAAATAAAATATGTGAAATATAAACAAAATATGTGAAATATAAACAAATATAAACAAAATATGTGAAATTTAAACAAAATATGTGAAATATAAACAAAATATGTGAAATATAAACAAAATATGTGAAATATAAACAAAATATGTGAGATATAAATAGAGCAAAAATGACTTAAATAAATGTTGAGTTTTCTTGTTCCGCATGTTTCTGTTAATCGAGCAAACAAACTGAAGAAGAGAGAGAGAAGAAGAGAGAGAAGGAGGTGGGGGAGAAGAAGAAAAAGGGAGAGGAAGAGAATAGGGGGAGAGAAAAGAGGGAGGGCGTGGAGAGAGGGGGACGAGAAAGAGAGATAAGAGAAGAGGAAGAGAGCGGGAGAGAGGAGAGGAAGAGAGAGAGAGAGGAGAGGGACAGAGAGAGGAAGAGGGAGAGAGAGAGAGGGACAGAGAGAGGAAGAGAGGAGAGAGAGAGAGAGAGAGAGAGAGAGAGAGAGAGAGAGAGAGAGAGAGAGAGGAGAGAGGAGAGGGACAGAGAGGGAAGAGGGAGAGAGAGAGAGAAGAGAGAGAGAGGAGGAGAGAGGACAGAGAGAGGAAGAGGGAGAGAGAGAGAGGAAAGAGGGGGGGAAGAAAGGGAGAGGGTGGGGGGAGAGGAGAGAGAGAGGGATGGGGGAGAGAGGAAAGAAAGAGGGTGGGGGAGAGGAGAGGAAGAGAAAGGGGGAGAGAGAGAGGAAGAGGAGCGAGAGAGGGAGAGAGAAAAGACGGAGAGAGTGGAGAGAGAGAGGAGAGAAGAAGAAGAGAATAGGATGAGAGAAAACTGAGGGGGGTACGAAAGAGTGAGGGATGGGGGGGAGAAGAGAGTGAAGAAGAGAGAGGGGAGAGGAAGGGAGACGGAAGAGAGAAGAGGAGAGAGACAAAGTGGAGAAGGAAGAGGAGAGAGGGAAAAGAACAGAGAGAGAGAGAGGGAGGAGACAGAGAATAGGACAAGAGAAAAGAGAGAGGGAGTAAGAGAAAGAGAGGTGAGAGAGTGAAGAGCAGAGAGAGAGACGAGCACTAAATGGAGAGAGAGAGAGAGAAGGAAGGAGAGGAGAGGAAGTGGTAAAGGGGAGAGAGAGAGAGAGAGAGAGAGAGAGAGAGAGAGAGAGAGAGAGAGAGAGAGAGGAGGAGGAGGAGGAGGAGGAGGAGAGATAGTTAAAGGGGCGGAGTTACAGACTCAGTTTTGACTCTTTCAGTCGTTTCAGAGGCGACAGGTGCACAACAGCTCCAGGACACTTCGACTGCAAAAGGTCAGATTTTTATTTGAATTTATTTTTTTGTATTATTTATTTATTGTTTCAGTATTATTTATTTATAATTTTTTTAAAATTTTATTTATGTATTTATTTGTTTGTTTATTTTTATTAGATTTATTAGATTTTATTTTTGAAATGTTTCGTATTATTTATTTATTATTTTAGTATTATTTATTTATTATTTCTTTATTTATTTATTATATTAATTCCATTTGAAAATGTTTAGTATTATTTATTTATTGTTTCAGTATTATTATTTTTTTTTTAGTATTATTTTATTTTATTTTTTATTTTATTTATTTTTTTAATTATATTTATTAAATTTTATTTTGAAATGTTTGGTATTTATATATATATATATATATATATATATATATATATATATATTTTTTTTTATTTATATATTTTATTTTATTTTATTTTGAAATGATAAGTATTATTTCTTTATTGTTTCAGTATTATTTCTTCTTTCTTTTATTTTATGGATTTGTTGATTCATTATAAAACATTATAAGCGTCAGTCAGTCTTAACCTTCATCTCAGCTGCATTTCTCATATGACATGTGACCAAAAGTTCCTCGAGATATGCTGAAATGTTACAGACAGTGGGTTATATATGAGTGATGTGATACTTACCAGTAAATACTGTACATACCAAGGTGTTGCCTGCAAACATGAACATTAGTTGATGCTGGAAGCTGCATTAAACTGTAATGTGGAACATTTCATTGGCTGAAAAAAAAATGTCTTTCATTGACAAGACATTTTTACAATAAATTTGAATGAACCCACTTGTTGGTCGCTGTTGTAGCTCCTTGTGTCATTACTCTGTTTTTACTCTGATACAAACTTAAACCTGCACAGTCTTGATCTTGATCGATGTTTCTTCTGCTCGATGAATAACGTCTGTGAAGTGATGACGTATTTTTGACAGTAAAGTCCCGTCTGTGAATTCGTGTTCGTACTGATGAAAGCGTAATCGTAAATTTTCATTTGGTGATTGTAATTCTTGACGTCGTAACTTTTCAATTCGTGTTCTGATGGATAAAATACACACAGTATATTTTATGTACGACTGGACTCATTGGAAAATATTTATTTTATGCACAACTACAGCCAAATACGCACGGATTATTGCATTTAAAAATGACAAGAATATTCTGGAACTGTAGGAATTTATAATATAACCATTTTCAACCACTTTATGCTTATTTCTAACTAGTCAATGTGGTTGGAGCAGCGGTCAGAAACTTTGCGTGTGTGGTATTTGCATATTACAACTGTCAGGTTTAAACCCACCTAAACATTGTAAAAACAAGAAGAAAGACAAGAGATTAGAATCGTTTTCTCATGAGGAGGGCGGACAGAGTGCATTCACCATCACAGTCTCTACCCGCTAGCTAACGTGTCTTTTTTATTCTTCTCTATTACTACCTTTTCTGCGTGTATTGCGTAATGGACATAGTCCTCCAATGTTGAGTTTCTCATGCCATAGTAATGTTTATTCAGCCATTGTCTTATTCCTTCCTTTACCACTTGTCGTACAGGTTGCTGCTGTGGACGTCTCCTAACAGCTACTGTTTCGTCATCCTCTCTTTTTTGAAACAACATTTCATTTTTATTTTTAACTTCTCTAAGTTTAGCTGTTTCTAACCAGTTTTCCAATTCACTAATGCCGTTTTTGCGCATTTTTCTTTTATTATTTTTAGGTTTTTTCTTTTATTTGTTCGCGCAACTTCTCGAGTTCTTGCACATTTAATCTTCCCCTAAAATTGTATTTTGTTATCCATTTCTCTAGATACTTCACGTTGTTTTTGTCTTTAACTTCCATTATCTTGTAGTCTTTACATGTTAACCTACCTATAGATCTCCCTGTTGATTAGTTGTTTCCCATTTTGAAACTATTTGGACCAGTTCTGTCACTCCTAGGGAGGTCTCTAAAAACTGGTTTAACTTGTCTTGATTGAGATAGTGATTCAAATTATCTCTGTGGTATTTCTCACTTCAACCCGTCAAGGTGGAGAAATCTTGTCCTTACATCCACAAAGACTCACTATTTCCTTTCTCAATCGATTGGTATGAGGACAATAACCTAGTGGTTATTATCTTCCATTCACACGACCATTCACACTCAAAGACTTTTCTTTTTTGTTTTTACGTTACGGAATTTAACACAAAGAGGACTCCGCCGTCCTGTATTTACGGAATTTTACTCCCTAGCCTGTTAAATCACATCTAGTAGTTGGACTCCGCCGTCCTTTAGTTTTACCTATTAGAGCCTAGGATTGATAGGGTTTTTCTATGACCCTCAGTCACTCGCTTTTTAACAAAAGTCCTACTCACTGTCTGTTGACTTTCTTCCTCTGACTTCCGTCAACCCTCAGACTCCAACCGACGAGAAGACAACCAGCCCGGAAAGGGTCTCAAGGACTCGCTGTCGAATCCGCCGTGGCCACGGTCTTTCTAGATTCTCAACGTCCGTTGGAGTCCTCAAGTGTGTTGGGATCCGGCTCGAAAAGACCAAGTTAATGTCAGGTTTAAACCCACCTAAACACTGTAAAAACAAGAAGAAAGACAAGAGATTAGAATTGTTTTCTCATGAGGAGGGCGGACAGAGAGTGCATTCACCATCACAGTCTCTACCCGCTCTGGTGCACTCTCTGCGTCTCCCTCTTTATTGTATTAGGAGGGTCCCTAGTTACAATGAGTGTCTCAGGGAGAGGGGGTGAAAACAGCAGAAACACCAGACATACAAATATGACAAATATGTGTTATCAACAGCAGGAGCATATGTTTCCTTTAGCTTTCAGACACAACTTCCTCCGTGCAGCCTTGAGTCGTCTGCTCCCAGGCTCCAAATCACCGTTGCTCACACATGACTGCAGACAGTTTCCAAGCACAAAGATTATTCAAGTACACAAAGAATAGTACATAGCAAATATAGCAAATATGGGATAATATATACAATTATTCTAACAACAACAGATAATACTCCCTACAACTGTACAACTCACCCTTATGTAACAGATAATACTCCCTACAACTGTACAACAACTCACCCTTATGTAACAGATAATACTCCCTACAACTGTACAACAACTCACCCTTATGTAACAGATAATACTCCCTACAACTGTACAACAACTCACCCTTATGTAACAGATAATACTCCCTACAACTGTACAACAACTCACCCTTATGCAACAGATAATACTCCCTACAACTGTACAACAACTCACCCTTATGTAACAACTCCTAGATAATACTCCCTACAACTGTACAACAACTCACCCTTATGTAACAGATAATACTCCCTACAACAACTCACCCTTATGTAACAGATAATACTCCCTACAACTGTACAACAACTCACCCTTATGTAACAGATAATACTCCCTACAACTGTACAACACATCACCCTTATGTAACAGACAGATAATACTCCCTACAATTGTACAACTCACCTTTATGTAACAGATAATACTCCCTACAACTGTACAACAACTCACCCTTATGTAACAGATAATACTCCCTACAACTGTACAACAACTCACCCTTATGCAACAGATAATACTCCCTACAACTGTACAACTCACCCTTATGTAACAGATAATACTCCCTACAACTCACCCTTATCTAGCAGATAATACTCCCTACAACTGTACAACTCACCCTTATGTAACAGATAATACTCCCTACAACTCACCCTTATGTAACAGATAATACTGACTACAACTCACCCTTATCTAGCAGATAATACTCCCTACAAACTCACCCTTATGTAACAGATAATACTCCCTACAACTGTACAACTCACCCTTATCTAGCAGATAACTCTATGTTTCTTTACAACATCTTGTACATAACTGTGATTTTCTGTATTTATATTACAATATTTGTTTGTTTGTTTTTTTACTTTACTTGGACCAGAGCTGGGACCAAGTCTTTGTTTTGCGAGTCTCAAGTCTTTGACCTCAAGTCCGAGTCAAGTCCCAAGTAAAATACATTCAAGTCCAAGTCAAGTCTTGACTTCACTGGTCCATAAGTCCAAGTCCAAGTCGTCAGCTTTGAGCTTCAAGTCATTTCAGGTCTTTAGATTTTTGCTATTTATGTGACTTTTAAACTAAATTGTATTTAAAAAGTCGTGGTATATTTATATATAAATATTTATTTAAAATCTGAAGAAATTTAAAATGTCTTGACAAAATTGTAGTAAATTTGATGATACCACATCGCAGTACTTCAGTTACATCATAAAAAGTAATAAACAGAGAAGTGGGAATGACATGTTCCATTTTGTTCCTATAAAATTCAGCGCCGCATTTATCAACTCTAAAGAGAAAATTATTTTCTAAAAACATATTTTTTTAAGAGAAGCATCAAGTCTTCTCAAGTCACAGGCCTCAAGTCCAAGTCGAGTCCCAAGTCCATTTTATCCAGTCTTAAATATAGTGATTGAAGTGTGACTCGAGTCCAAGTCACAACTTCCAAGTCCCACCTCTGACGTGTACATTTACTTTTATATATTTATGTCTTATTTCACTTATTTACACTGTTGGGCAAGTGACTTTAAAACTGTAATGTGTTATTTATGACTTATTACTGTCATTTCAAAGTCATTTGTTACATTATAATATTACTGCATTTAAAATGTACGGCATTACATTACTATTGCATTACTTTAAGTTACTCTCACCAATATAACTGCGAAGATGCTGAACTTTTACGCCATATATGGACTGAACCAGGACCATAACAGGACTAACCTTGGACTGATTCACTGGACTCACTGTAGGGACGGGCTTGAAGGTGACGCAGGAGAAAGGAGCGGCTCTGCTCCGCACCTCACGGAGGTAAGAGCGGCTGTCACTCTGCTGCTCGGGCTCGAGGTCCTGATTTCAGCAACTATTTGCAGGGACCTGAGCCGCTGTAGCAGAGTCTTGCACCGGGTCGGGTTGAGGAGAAAACTTGCAAATATACAGCACTTCACAATC